GTGTGGGGGGGGCTACAGTAAAATGTCAATATATATCCACTAATATAGCTTTAAAAATCCAAAACTCAAAGGACTGCTTATAGTAAGTGCTGGTGAGGATGTGGAGAAACTGTAATTCCCCAACACTGCTGCTGAATCTAGAAAATGCAGATGCACTTTTAAAAAGACCATTTGGCCAGGCACTGGTGGCTCACGCCTGTAATCCTAGCTACTCAGGAGGCAGAGATGAGGAGGTTCACGGTTCAAAGCCAGCCCGTGCAAATAGTTTGCGAGACCCTATCTTGAAAATAGCCATCACATAAAAGGACTGGCAGAGTGGCGTGAAGGCCCTGAGTTCAAGCCCCCGTACCAGGAAAAAAAAAGAAAAAAAGAAAGAAAAAGACCATTTGGCAATTTTCTTACAAAGTTAAATGTACACTTCACATATGACTCAACAATTCCGCTTCTGGTGATGCAGCCAAGAGAAATGAAAACATACATCCACACAAAAGCTTGGGCATGAATGTTACTAGTGACATCATTTATAATAGCCCCAAGCTGGACACAATCCCAAAGTCTGTCACCTGGGGAATGGAAAGTCCAAACCATGGTGGATGGATACAAAGGAGTACTTCTCGCCATACAAAGGAGCAACTGGTACACAGGAGGTACTAATTTAGAATGACAGGAAGCAGATCTCTGATGGCCTGGAGAAATGGGGTGAAGGGAAGGCTGACTGCAAAGAGGCACGGGAAACTTTCAGAAGTAAAAATGTTATCTTGGTTTAGGTGGTTGAAATGCATTTTTTTTTGGCAGTACTGGGATTTGAACTCAGGGTCTTGTGCTTCCTAGGCAAGTATGCTGCCACTTGAGCCACACCTCCAGCCCCATGAAAGGCATTTTTCAAAATGCAGAGAATTGCACTCAGAACAGGTGTGTTTTATTGTATTAAAGTATACCTCCATGTAGTTGATTTGAAAGTTAAAAAAAGAGAGAGAAAGCTATTAACTCAAATTAGGGCTTCACAGGAGGCAGTGTGTGAAGCTGGGTCTTTAAAAATGAAGTTGGGAGGTATGCATGAGAAAGCACAGGGACCTGTCCAGGCAGACAGAATAGCCAAGTCTGACAGCTGTCCCTGATGTCTATTGTCCCTTGATTTCTACAAAAAGAGCAGCCAAGATTTTAACTGAGCACATGGTCATGAGAATGGAGACTACGTCTCCCAGCCTCTCTGGTAGCTAGGTGCAGGCCTGTGATCAAGTTTGGCCAATGGAATGTTAGTTGAGATGGTGTGTGGGTGACTTCTGGAAACTATGTTTATAGGGAAGCGACATTCTCTTCTCTTCCTCTTTTTCTGTTCCTGCTGGCTGGAATATGGTCATGATGTCTGAAGCCACAGAAGTCACAAGGTAGAAGCTGCTCCCAAGGAATAAACGGAACCTGAGTCTGTGAGGATAGTGGAATCCATCATCAACCCCACACTGCTGCCTTGACTTGGCAGAAAGAAACAAATTTCTATTTTGTTTTAGTCACTGCTGTTTTGGTTCCCAGTAGTTCCAGCAAAGTACAATTGTAATTAATACAATGAACAAAGGCAGAGTGAGAGGTGATGTGTTAATGTCACTAGTGCTTCAGGCTCTCTAAGACACCTATGTACCACTCTACTCTTCTACTTGAAGGCAAGACCTCAGTTTTCCTCATCTGTCTGTTTCCAGGCCTTGGCACATAGCAGATGCTCAGTAAAAATACCCAGTTGACTGGAAGTCCATGGGCCATGGGTGTTCCAAGCCTTGGCACAGGAGACTCTAGCCACTCTTGAAGGCTGAGTCAGGGCCCTCTGTTCAATCATACAATCCTTGAACCTAGTGAGGGCTCGGGTACTCACTGAAGCATTTGCCCATCCTTTTTCAGGATGGGTGCTAAGCAGACCCTTGAATTGCATTCCAGGGCACCTACTCCTCTTGCTCAGATCCTTTTCCATGTTCTGCTTGGGGTAGGACTGTCCAGACCCCAGTAATCATATGATACAGGCCTCAGCCAGTCCACACTTTCCGTTCTTCTGGATATAAGGATTAGCTAGGAACAGACAGAACCACAGGCATCACTGAAATTGATCAGAGCTGATCTTGGGACTTACACAGACACTCAAGAAAGCAGCTCTAGCTCTTTTGCACCAGACACCAGTTGGGTAGACGCTGTACCAATTTTCTAACATGAAGGAAGGGCCAGTCTGAGAATGAAGACAACCCAGAGAAAACAGTTATCAGTCAAAGAAAAACTGAGTCTTGGTTTTCATTTGAGCCCTGGATCAAGTTGGGCCTAAAGACAAATTCTAGTGATTTTCAACCAAGTAATCCAGTAAATTTCTTTTGGGCTTAAGTCAAATGGGCTTGGCTCTTCAATCAATTATATCCCTGAGAGTACAAACTAACACAGTTGACCTTGAGGGCCAATGTCACCTAATGTCATCTTAGGTTGAGTGCTAGCACCTAATACAGGTGGAGGACAGGGTACCACCAGACTGTGGCATTAACTCCACTTCCTTTCGAGTGTGGCTGAGTCTGAGAACTCAAACAAAGCTTCATTGATTCTACCTGGTATGTGACATTGTAAACCAATCTCACATTATCAGCACAGCAAAAATTCCCCTATAAAAACACAGGAGTCTAAAACGTTAATCTGAGAATTAGTGGACATTTATCTTCTTTTGGATCAGTATAATTTCCTCCCATTTTTTAAACCTGCTTTCTGAACCACCTCATTTATCTGAGCTTTCAAAAGCTCATGCAAGACACATAATGCACTTCAGCTACAAAAAAATCAATGCTTGCGATGCATTTTCACCAGGATTGCTATGGAAATTCTGCTTCTCAGAGGCCTCACTGCGAAAAAATTTTATTCATGAATAAGAGCCAGAATAGGTATGAACAAAGCTTCTCCTAATTATCAAATCAAGAAGGAAATGTAATTCTAAAGACATATATTCTTTTTATTTTTAAAGGGAAAAATTTTTGTATTAGTTTGGGCCCTTACCTCTGTCAACCACCCAAGACAACTGACTTTAATTAAAGACCATTTACCCTAATGGATGGAATTGGAAAACATCATTCTGAGTGAGGTTAGCCTGGCCCAAAAGACCAAAAATTGTATGTCCTCCCTCATATGTGGACATTAGATCAAGGGCAAACACAACAAGGGGATTGGACTTTGATCACATGATAAAAGCGAGAACACACAAGGAAGGTATGAGGATAGGTAAGACACCCAAAAAACTAGATAGCATTTGTTGCCCTCAACACAGAGAAACTAAAGCAGATACTTTAAAGCAATTGAGGCCAATAGGGGAAGGGGACCAGGAACTAGAGAAAAGGTTAGATCAAAAAGAATTAACTTAGAAGGTAACACACATTTTCTGTAAATCAATGCATGTCAACTCCCTGTATAGCTATTCTTATCTCAACTAGCAAAAACCCTTGGTCCTTCCTATTATTGCTTATACTCTCTCTTCAACAAAATTAGAGGTAAGGGCAAAATAGTTTCTGCCTGGTAGCGAGGGGTAAGGGAGGGGGAGGGAAGGGAGGGGGCGGGCGGAAGGGGGAAGAAATGACCCAAACAATGTATGCATATATGAATAAAATAAAAATTAAATAAATAAATAAATAAAGTACCACGGGGGGGGGGGGAGACCATTTACCCTGGGAATGGATGGCTTGCTGCAATTTACACTGAAGAGACACATTTGCAGACAAATGGATTGCAGTCCTTAGATTTTTGCCCCAATGACAAAAGAAGTGATTATGTTCCCTCATCACTTCCTCACTCTGAAGAACTCTATTAAGAGAATAATTGGAACTGACTCTCTGCTACTCTGCATTTTAAAGTGTGATCTATTTCAATGCCAACAACGTTTTTTCTCCTTTTAAAAACAAGTGGTATTTAAGGAAAAATGCCAGCTGGGTGTCTATTTGAGGAGGGGCTGTAGGAAACTCAAAGTTGATTTAACTCTCTGAAGCTAGTTGCTTGCAAGTTGTGTGAGTGGCCTGGAGCCTGAGATCATAGCAGTGGATGGTGTGGAGACAGTCTCATTCACACGCAGGATCTGGATGCCTGGTTCTGCTCTTCCATCTCTGGCTGCCAAGTGCCAGAAAGCTTTGGATGGAGTTGTTTCACTCCAGGGCTGTGGAGTCTGAATGGGAATCTAGGACCTAAGGCTTCCCTATTCTTCTGTGTGTAGCCTGAAAAGAGACCAGTAGATCTACTCAGCATAGGGTTGGGGGGAAAGCCCAAAATGTAGGGGCCTGGTGTTGTGTCCAAATGAGCTCCAGGGATGCCTTCTCTGTGATCTCATGATCACCCTTGCAGGCTGCAGAATGACTGAGTAAAAGTAGGTCCTTCTGTTCTATTTGATCAAATGGAACTGAGCTCAGCACCAACGGTAACTAGGTACCTGGCCATTTATCCCAAATTCAGGAAGGCATGACTGGCCTTGGCCTACGAAGATGGGAATTCAACTTCTTTCTCCCACACTGGTCGGAATGAAACTATCTTAGACTTATCGAGCTCGATCTGACCAAGAAGCTTGGAAGTATCTGGCCTGGCAGCCAAGATGAAGAGCAGAAACCAGGCCAAAATCCCAGATCTGCGTGTGAAATGAGACCGAATCTGATTGCTCCGTCGAGATTGAAACACGTTCCCGCATGCTATCCACCTCTCTAACGGGCTCCACACGACTGACTTGGCCCATACAAGCATCTTTCGCAGACATATCATGTATCGTCGAAGAGGCCTTGAGATACTCAAAAGTCAGACGATAACGAATTCGTGCCCTCATAACAGCCCTCACGAAGCACTTGAAGATCTCACATCATGAAGGAGACATAGGTC